CCGGGGCAGGCGGAATTTGAACTCATGCGGAAGTGGCTTTAGCTTCTCAGTGCAGTGCTTTAACCCGCTGCGCCACCAGGGAGGGCCTAAATTTTTTATTTTAATTGTGGAATTACATTTTTGTTCTTCTGTATATGCACATGCTCCACTCCATCCTCTGTGAAACCTCCAATACCTATACTCCAGCTGCCTTTCTCTCCCAGCCCCTCTTGCCCCCTCCCCTTCTCACCCCTCTAGTAACCATTATATTCTGTCATTGAGTTTGCTTTATTTCTACTATATTTACCCTTTGTATATCTTTTGATTATTAATATTGCACAGATGAGTGAAACCAGTGGATAGCTCTTTCACTTTTTAACTTATTTTACTTAACATAATCATCTTGAGCTCCATCCAATTTGTCCAAATGTCAGTGTTGGCCTTACTCGTGGCTATATACTATTATATTGAGTATATATTCCAAAGTTTCTTTATCCACTTGTCTGTTGAAGGACACTGAATTTGTCCATGACCTGGAAATTGTGGAAGTGCTACTATGTACATAGGTATAGGTAGATATTTTGTATTATATTTTTCATGTTTAGATAAATACCTAGTTGTTTTTTTGTTTGATTTTTGCTAGGTTATGAAGAATTTCCATTCTTATTTTCTTGAGAAATCTCCAGTTTTCCACAGGGGCTGTACCAGCTTGCATTACCACCAGAATGAATGAGAGTTCCTTTTTCATCACAACCTCACCAAGATCTGTTAATACTATTAATATTTTAGATTAATCTCCAAAATTTACACAATCCAACAACAAAGAAAGAAATATAAAATGGGCAAAGGACTTCAATAGACCTTCTTTTAAAAAGACATTCAGATAGCCTACAATCATGAAAAAGGGCTCAAATCACTTACTATGAGAGAAAAGCAAATTAAAACCCCACTGAGGTACCACTTAACTTCTGTGAGAATGACTTCTATTTTTTAAAAAAAAATGGCCACATAAATGCTGTTATAGTTATTTTTTTTTAAGATTTATTTATTTGTACATACAGAGCTGGGGTACAGGCCAGAGGCTCAGGGGCGGTGAGAGGCTTCACCAGAGACAGAGTGGGGAACAGAACAGGCAGATCGACTGCTGGGAGGAGCAGTGGGAGGGTCAGGAGAGGTCTGCCACACCATGTGGTCACCTCCAGGGCAGGTGGGAATCGAACTCATGTGGAAGTGGCTTTAGCTTCTCAGTGTAGTGCTTTAACCCGCTGCGCCACCAGGGAGGGCCTGTTATAGTTATTTTTAAGGGAAAGTGTGATCTCACCCTCTTTCTCCTACCATGTTGTGGGTCTCTGCAGCCTTTCAATGATGTGATCTGCAAAGCTTCTCTTTTTTGAAGAAAAATGAATAAAAATTTGAAGGTAGCTGATAAGATTCAAAGGTTGGGAAAGATGAAGCAAAATACTGTTGCTTTTTTTTCTCATATACATGTGGGATTACTTATTTATGCTTACAGAACTGGGGTACAGGCCAGAGATATGGTGGGTGAGAGGATTCACCAGAGACAGTGGGGAGCAGAATAGGCAGATTGACCAAGTACACTGCTGAGAGGAGCAGCGGGCGGGTCAGGAGAGGTCTGCCACATCCTGTGGGTCACCTCCCGGGCCGGGGATCCAACTCATGCTGTAGTGGCTTCAGAGAGCTTCACAATGTGGTGTTTTAACCAGTTGCGCCACCACAGGTGTATGTGGTGGAGTTCTGCCACCTGCTTGCGACCCTCTCCAGATCCTGAACATTGCATGATTCCCTGGTAGATAGAGGTTGAGCCCTACCTGTACTTTGTCACACTGATATATTGTGCCACACCTCTACACAGAAACTTCTTGTTTTCCCCTGAAGATTTATACTGGCTTCCCCTAGTACATCCATGGCATTTCAATTCTCCCTTTAAAAATAGTGTCAGTTACTGGTTCCTCATCAAGTCCTGAAGCTGACACTCACTGAAGGCCACTCCATAATGAGACAGTGGTGGGGTAGAACCACAGAAGACCAGACCTCGTGAGGGTGATGTTACAGCCCAGATATGTAAAATGAGCTGTCCCAGGCCACGTAATGGTCAATGGCAGGGCCAGACTAGAACATTGAGATGAGGCTGGTCTACTTTTGATTCAGTCCTCTGCTGTTTTGTTGGGACCTCCAGCTTTTCCCCCTTTAAGAGAGTCATGCAGGAGTAGAGAGTGCTATGTGCCAAAGCCACTTGTTCCAAACACCCCTTGCCAGACCTGTCCTGCAGACAACAGTGCAGGAGTGGATACTGCAGGACCAAGTTGTATAACATAAGAGCCCCAGTGTGCTGCTTGCAAAGCTCAGCTTATGTGGGGAGAGGTAACGGGGCCAACCAGGTACTCTGCTGTGCCACATCTAGGGACACCCGGGACATTGTGTGGAAGGACTGAATTGCCCTCTGCATGGAGCCTCAGAGGACAGAGTTACAAAAGCATTACAGAGTTATCTGCAGGGATAGATAACTTCAAACTGCCAAGAATAACTGGCTTTTGTTCCGTTTGGGCTATATCCTGGGATAATGGATTCTCAGGGAAGACAACAAAGGGGAGAGAATAGTCCTTAATAGTAACTCTCATTTTCGTTCTCCAGTGTCTTTGGAGTAAGCCATTATGGAAGTGTTTTAAGACTCTTCAGACAACAAGACAGGACCTTTCTTAAAGACTGTAGGTCCTCTGATCACATCCCTCTGGGTCTTCTCCCAATCAGAACTCGCCTGCCTCTGTGCCATCGGGCAGCCCGCCCATTCTTCACATCGTGTGCCTTCTCTGCATTTCTCCAGCCCCAAAGCGGCTGTTTATGGCACTGCGACTTCTACCCCAGACATTGTACTTTAGATTTTTTTTTTTTTTTTTGGTTTCTTCCCAACTCTCTGTCTGAGTAGCCCAGTATTTTTCTAGCCTATTGAACACAATAAGTCATTAGTTCATTGTTTCCTTTGCTGCATTGTAACTGCTAATTGAGTGCTTATATTCTCTGCATTTCGACCTTTTTATAAGGGGAAAATGCGTGTGTTCAACCTTCCCACAGTGGAAGTCACTTGGCATTTTATGCTACCTTCATGAAAAACTTCTTATAGCTAATTTTTGCTGCTTTGGTAATCTTCATTTTTATGAAATATGTCACCTGTGAATGTGCGAAGTTTACCATGTGTCTTTCCTTCATATAGTTTATAAACACAAATTCTATTTTCTATTTTTATGGGATTCTTCTTTTTATATTTATTCATAGAATGAATATTTATGACCTATTTCTCATCTAAAATCAAGAATCTGTCCTGGCTTACTTTGTAGTGTTGGTGTTGACTCTCGACAATGAGATTTTGAAAACCTGAATAAATTATATTCATCAGCTTTTCCTTAAATATGTGTTATATTACTCAACATTTAGTGGCAAATCAAAAATGAGTATCCTCCTTTTAATTAAAAAAAATTCTTGGATGTGAGAGTCAGATAAAATTATTTTCTAATTTAGTCTTGAGCTTCTTCAAACTCTGAATATCCTCCTCACTAAATGGCAATATAAATACACCTGACATGAAAATCAGGCTGCCTCCTAAAAACATATTGATAAGTCAGATATGCATTATCCACATGATAAGGGTCCATCAAGTTCAGCTGAATGTATTCTAATGACTTGGGGCTTGTAGCTGAACCCACCAAACTCCCAAAGACTTCATCATTACACAGCAAAGTCCGAACACCCTAATCTTACCCGGAGGTACCACACAGCCTGCACCTGCAGGTCTTTCCCTTCCTGCCTCTGCTTCCATCTTTGCCACTATCCCCACCCAGATCAGAAATTTCCCTGCCTTTCGTGCTTGAACACAGAGGACCTGGTGTTCCTACACTGCTTTTCTTCTCTTATTTCTAAGAATTTAAAATGTTAAAAAAAAAAAAAAAAGAAAGAAAGAAGGAAGAAGGGAGGGTGGTTGGGAGGGAAGGAAGGAAGGAAGGAAGGAGCAGCCCAAGGGGAAATAGTGGGAAAGTCACAAAATCAAGCATAAGAGAACCAGGCTCTTTCTTTTTCTGTCTAATAATGAAGAAAATAAAATCTCTCCACTCACTGACATGAAGTCATGTTAGCAGCTGTAGATTTTGTGACAGAAAAGCCACTTGGTTTCTTAGTTATAAAAAACAGGCAAAACATTTCCCAGAGTGGCCACTGGCAGCAGCAGGAACTGAGAGTGTTGTCTCAACACAGGCAGGAGAACACAGGAGGACCAAGTGAGGAACAGAGGACACTACTCCTATAATCTGCTGGGAATGTGCCAAAGAAAATCAGATAACAGATGAGACAGGGCTTGCCAGTCACCCCGCTGGTTTCAGAGGCAGATTGCCCTTGCTGCCTCACCCATGAAATGAGTCACCCTCTACAGAACCCATCACAGCTCAAGTTTAATCAGCCTTGTGGAAACCTGGCAGAAAGCATCTCTCTGGCCTCCCCCAGAGGGGCCCCTGACGCAGGGGGTGTGGAGGATGAGGCTCCGGTTACACAGTTTAGGGGAGCACTGGGAGTGGTACCTGTGAGAAGGGAAGGAAGGAGATACCTAGGGAAGGGGGGATCTCTGAGGTACTCAGGGAACCTACTGAGAAGCCTACGGTGATCTGGTTCCAAGGAGAGAGGCGCTCACTGAAGTCCAAGCCTCATGAATCCACCTGTGACAAGGCTCAGAAACACTTTCTGCTACTACTCCTCACTACCAGCCTCTTCCTCACTGTCCTCATTCAGAGGCAAGTCCCTCCTGGGCTTCTGAGTTACATACATCCGGGTGTCCATGGGGCAGTCCTGGCTTAGTATTGCCTGTAGTAAGAGAGAGTAAAAGAAATCACTGCCCAGCTTTTTACCAGACTCCCACACCTTTCCCCCACGTCTAGTGTTCAGGACAGGCTCAAGAAATAAGCACAGGACCCTGTGCTTCTGCCCCACAAGGCACCCCAGTTATCAGCTAGTCAAAACAAGCATCTGATAACCTTTTACTTGAATACTAACAATGGTAATGCAAGCTGTAGTTGGGAACACCTAAAATGGGCCCCCTGTCCTGTCAGACCTTCCTACCTTTGCACACTCTGCCCTAATGAATTCAGATCCTCAGGTTGTTCATGATGCAATAAGAGAAAAGTGCCTATTGACCACTGTGTTAGAATTCTCTTCCCTGGGATTTCTGTACTTTAAGAGATGACCTGGTAAAGATAATGGCAGGCTGAATGAATGAGTGGGTGCAGTGAAATTCTGCTCATTTGGCGGAATAATCAGGGGATTTATACTTTACTAGTAACTATAGCAACTACAGGATAGCTTTGATGACCCCTATTTTACCAACATCCCTTCTTTGCATGCGACTCTTCCCTTCAATCCAGAGAAAGAGGGAACGTTATGCAGAGAAGGAAAAATAAAGACACAAATGAATGATAAACATGAAATGGAGATCAGAAAACATGGCAATGCACAGACTATCAAAGAGAGGAAGATAAAATCACAGAATGAAAAAGAATGAGAGAAACACAGAAAGAAATGGAAGAATTTTTTTCCAGTGGTAATATAAGAACCCTCACAAGCTTTTCCTCCTTGGCTGGGGGGTTCCTCAGGGAGTAGCAGAGAGGGGCATAGAAGATGTTGATGACCCCAATGATGACCATGAGCCAGGGGAAGCCTATGGCATGCACAATGGCGCCTCCAGTGGATGGACCTGTGAGTCATAAATCAGATACAGTGTTTATTAAACCTTGATCGGACTTAAGACATGAGAATGCACCAGAGAATGCCCCAGAGACAAATCTCCAGAGTGTCAGCCTCCTGGCTCCACTTCCAGGAGGCAGATAGTAGATAAGAGAGAGTGGGACACCAGATCATACGTGTTCCTTTCTCTCTCCCTGCCCCCATTCACATACCTATTGCAAAGCCCATGCAAAACGCCACATCAGCGATGGCATAGACACTCCCATACACCGAGGCGTGGCGCAGATCTACCAGGTAGCCCATGATTGGCATCATAGCAGAATCCACCATGCCTGAAGCCAGAGTAAACATGGCCTGTCAGTTCTATCCACAGTCCCTGTCACACAGTCTGTGACACCTTCCTCCTCCTCCCCCCCCCCCTTGGTCTATCCTTTTTGCCTACTATCCTCCCACTCAGCACCAACAAACCTTTCAGGTAGAAATTATGAGCTCAAATCTTCATACACCTGCAAGCCTACCTGACCCACAGCAGCATCAGAGACTACCTATGAGGGCACTTCTTACCAATGGCGAAGCCAAGTCCTGCATTGGGGCCAATGAGACCAAAAATATTATGAGCCAGAGGAACCTGAAGCAGGGAGAAAGAAATTGTCAGCTTTCCACCTGGATCAAGTGAAGGCCGCAGAAAAAACAAAGAATTTTCATATGAAATGCATTAATGAGCCACGTACTATAGACATATTATCTACTTGAAGTTCTCTTTATGATACTCTAGCAAATACAGTGCTAGTAAGTAGTAAGATGATGTCTGAACTTCAGATTTGACTCCATTATACCATAAAAAAAAGTCCTTTTTTGTTGCATGATCTCTCTACCCTTCCCCATCTGAATACACAATTCTGCCCTTATTGTTTACTGAACATGGTTTCTTTTCTTTTTTACCAACAACATCATCTAAAGGTTTTACTTCAACCTTCAGTTGGTAGCCACTGAGGGAAGAAGACAGAGAAGAGACAACGCCATGTTCTGGAAGGGACAGGGGCATGGTTTAGGGCACCATGTCAGCAAACAGGAAACTAATTCTCACTGTCCTTCCAAACCCTTCACTGAAAGCTTCACTTCTGCTTGTTCCTTCTCTCCCTCTCTGGGTATGTTACCCAAGCCTCCCACTTCAACTCACCCTCAGAAGTTTAACATGCCATCTGGATGTTGGTGGTCAATTATGACTTTAGGGCTGATTTCTCAAGGGATATTCTCATTTATTAATAATATGGCTAAGATTTGCTGCAGACTCACTACATGCCAGATGCTGGGGTTTATGTGAATTATCTCATCAATGCTGTGAGACGCTCTCAAAAGCTTCTCTATAGAGATGAGAGCACAGACATAGGCGATGAGCTCAAAGTCATGTGAGCTGCAAATGGCAAAAGCAAAGCTGGGGCTGAAACTGGAGTTGGTTCTCCTCACCAGGACCTCCAGACTTTCTTGAGCCCTGTGCTCAAAGCTTCACAGTCCTGTCTGCATCTCCCAAGCCCTGGGAGGCAAGGGCACTTATGATACCCAGAGCGGGGAGAAAATAAGGATTTAGTGAGCCTTTCTCTAGCCAAACACTCTGATGCCAGAGACTAAGGCTTCGGTGATGATTCCTCTTTTGGTTTAAGGGGTCCTGTCAGAAAAGGATGAATAAATAAAATAAAATGCACCATTTTTCTGACCTCAGAAATAGATAATAAGATGTATGTATTGTTTTGTATACCCAACAGCTTCAAACTACTGATTCCATCTGCCCCACTTCTCTCTCCCTCTCCTTCCTCAACTCTGTTTAGTAGGGTGACTGATAGCATCTTCCCCCAACGCTAATTTCTTTCCTATGCAGAAATGACCTGACAGTCCTTGTCAAGTCAACCTTCTGCTCATTTTAAAGATAGTCTCTATCTCTCCTAGGACCAAGAATACTTACACAGAGCAAGCTGATACCTACAACCACCATCCCAATCAGTGCGCACAGCCACCTGGGAGGAAACAGTTATCATTAAATATGGCTCATTGGAGAGATCCTTCCACCTGTGATGCCATCACCACTGCACACTCCTACCCCTAATTCCAGGAACCCATTATTAAGTGAGAAGATGAAGGCATCTCTACATGACTCAGTTTGTACTAGATGAATCCTTTCCTTGCCCTTTAGTTTCTTCCCTGGCTCTGTACCCTTTTCCAGAGTACAGAAAGGAAGACGCAGTAGGACAAGTCCTTCCTACCCTTAGGAATAGCAAAAAGCTGACTCAGTGATCAAGTCAGGATCCTCAATTTACCACACTCATGCTGTCCTCATCACTCACCACTCCATCCTCCCCATGGGCAGAATGTATCAGTGTGAACTGTCCTAAGCTTTGAATGGTGAAGAATTTAAGATGGTAAAAAAAAAATCTAAGATGGCCTAGGTTGAGCAACATCTTTCAAGTCTTGCCCACCTTACATTCCCATTGCTCTCTCCAGATCCCAGGTTACATACCGACCCATCTTGTTGGCCAACACACCAAAAAGGTTGGTGCCAATGAGGTAGGACATACTGGCAGGCAAGAAGGCCAGACCTGTGGAAAGACAGAAGTCCTCACCCTAAGACATGTCCAGTGTACTTAAATGTCATGTTTTCCACAAGACAGGAGAGTGTCCTTGATACCTTCCAGGATCTCAAACCACATTGTGGCTAGGAGATCTTTGTGCAAAGCCACAGCAGAAGACAAAGTTTCCCACCCCTTTGCTTTCGCCAGGACCAGAACTTGGTCAACTTCAATATGTCTCATGGGCTTCCAGCTTCACCTAGACTTCCTGACAAATGGCTCTAATGAGCCATTCTCACATATAAAATATTCAATCAACTAAGGACATGAACTTTTAAGAAAGACATTTATGTTTTCTACTTGCCTGGTCTCTTATTGATCTGGCAATGCCTTGGGTAAGTCACTAATCATTTCTAAGCTTTGGTGTTCACATCTGGGACTATTGAAGCATGATTTTACTATACAGGCCTACCCTGAGGAGAAAACTAGATAGCATATGTAAAAGTATTTGTAAACTGAAGCCATGGTCATGTTGCTTTTTTTGACAGTGAGTCATGTACTCTGGATCATGGGCTATGGATTCACATAGTCATAACTTGGCCACTTGTTAGCTCTGTGACTTTGGGAAATTTACTTACCCTCCCTGAGTCTCAATTATTCATTCAGTGCTTTCAATGGAATTTTATTATGTACTATGTACAGGATTCCAGGAGCAAGTAGTAAAGGGTGACAAAGATAGACAAAATTCTAGCTTTTAGGAAAGGGTGACAGATAATGAACAAATAAATGGAAAAGATGAAAAAAAGTGACAGTAATAAATTGTGGCAATTCAGCAGGGTGATCAGGAATAGGGGCTAATTTAGACTTAGGGAATGGGGAGAACATCTTTGATAGGTGATATTTAAGCTGAGACCTAAATTAAATAAATAAATTTATTTAAATTAATTAACTTAAATTAATTAATTTAAATAAATTAATTTAATAAAATGCAAATACAAATACAAAGATTAAAGAAAAAAACCACTTAGTCTATTAAGCAATAGAAAAGATCTCTGTGTGGTTAAAATACAATGAATAAAGTAAAATGATAGAAAATTTGAAATTTGGAAGTGGGCAGATGACTGCAATGAAAAGAGATTGAGTCTCACAGGAGGTGGGGCTCTTTGGAAAATGAAGAAATGAAGCAGAAGCAGCGGAGGGAAGTAAGTCTCAAAAAACATGAACTTCCCTCAAGAAGACTGTAGATAACTGTGTTCACAGGACACATTCAGAACTCAGGCAAGAAAACAAAGGAAATGTTCAAAGAGACAGAGCCCAGTAGCCCACAAGCCTCCTAGATACAGCTCCTTGACATTTTGAGTGATGTAGAATTTCTTGAGTGAGATTTTCTTCAGTAATGTGCCTTGTCCTTTAGAACACATCATAGCTTGCATTGCGTGCTAGCTAAAATAGGCTCACATGACAAAGATCAGAGTTCCACAAGAGCCAGGTTTGGGGAGGGCAACTGGAAATTAGGTCAGATTAGTAAGAAAGCTCTGAAATGTTAATAATGGCCCCTAATCTTCCTACTTATTATCATAAAATAACTTCACCAGCTAGATTGTGAGGCGACCTGAGATAATGCATATCAACCGTTTCACACAGTGCTCGGCATAGGCTTAATGTCCTCTGAGCAGCAACCTTAACTATCATTATTACAAGCAGTGAGTAGCAGGTCAGGACTTGAACACATGACTCCTCCAGGTGTCTCCACTGTCCCACACCACCAGTGTGGCAGCACAGATGGCTCTCTTGGTACCAGGGGTTGCATGGGATCAACCATGTGAGTTCTTGAGGTCTCTCCCAGCTTCCTGCTTCTCTGTGTCCAAAATAAACAGTACTGCCTAATAGAAACTGTAATGAAGATTCCAGTTAAACCCAAAGTCAACAATTCAGCAGTTACTGGGTGACAGCTTGTTTGCTTTTAATATTGTCATCTATGAGACGAAAGTGAAGCACAGCTCTGTGTATTTGCCTAATCTGTCTATACAGGTAGCAATTATTTTAAACTGTACCCATTTGCTTATGCTTAACTGCTGTAAACATTTAGAAGTTATAACGACTCAATGGTGTACCTGATAGATGGGTACCTTGAGGAAGCCCACAAGCCTCCTAGATACATCTCCTTGACATTTTAAGTGATGCAGAATTTCTTGAATGAGATTTTCTTCAGTGATATGCCTTTTCCTTTAGAACATATTATAGTTTGCATTGCAGAGCTATTTTGTGCAAAATAGGTGTTCTAGACTCTATGTTTACAGACACCTATTTTTTATAGCATATCTTCAAGGAGTGGAGGATTGCACATCCCTGTAACTGTCAAAATGAAGAAAACCATTATGAAAATAGCAATCATTTTTATCTACTGTATTCCACGCACTTTATCATATATAGATCTATCAAATCCTCAAAACAATCTTGAAAATGACCTCTCTTTACAAGTATCTCCACATTTACAAATGAAAATAATGGTGTTCAGAGAGGTTAAATGACCTATCCAAGATCACAGACTAGTCAGTGAGGATCCAAATCTAGGGGGACCTGTTTCCAGAGCCTGGGCCATTTCCTCTACTCCAAAGAGTTCCCGGCATAATATGGGTTACTTAGAAAGTGCTGGACCACAGACTCCAAGTGCCTTCCTTGCTCCTCCTAACACCCTTGAGAGGATTTCTGCATTTAGAACAGTGATTTTCAAAATGTGGTTGGTTGTTGCCACATCATCTGGAAACGTACTAGGAATGCAAACTTGTTTCTACCAGGTGGAACCCAGCAATCTCAGTTTTAACATGCTCTCCCGGTGACTGAGAATCTCTGAAGATGCAGATAGCACTGGAGAAAGTTCTAAAAGATAGTGGGGAAAAGCCTTCTCTATGCTGAGGACTTTCTAAGACTCTCTACTGACCTGGCCCAATAAGGGGCTTCTTGCAGTCAGCCTAGTGACTGTCTTTCGGTCTCTGCCTCTCTCTGCCTAGAGGAAATTGTCCTGCTTAATAGGAAACTCAGAATTCCAAACAAAGCCAGAGTTAACAATTCACCAGTTGCTGGCTGGTATCTTCTTTGTTTTTATTTCTTTTAAAGATTTATTTATGCATGCATGCATGCAAAAACTGGGGTGTCCTGTTAATAAAGAAGAGCTGGGAAAGGATCATAAGAGCAGCAGGTAGCCAGCTGCATCACAGGCTTTGCATGGCCCCAGAGTGGCAGGGGTGCTCAATTGCACCAAGTGCCAACTAATTTAATGAACTGTCATACTCAGAGGCAGCTGCAGCCCAGAAAAAAAATTAAATCTGAAGCTTGGGCTGTGCCTGGGAGGCTTGCTTAGAACTGTCCCCTAAAAAATTAGATTTAGTGCTTTTTATTATTGCACACTGAGTTATATTAGGTCCTTATCAGCTTCCCTTCTGGCCCCATAAACCTCTTCTCCCTGTGATGACTAAGCAATTGGCAGGAGCCTTCCCTGCCCTTCCTCAGCCTTTCTGGAGAGTAGGAGTCTCCTTTTAAGTTCAGATCAGTCATGGTGATGACTGTTCTTCAAGGTGCAGGAGACTAGAAGCCACTGTCAAAACAATAGACTTCATCAGCTCCTTTTAAGAAGCAAAAAGAAAGCACAAGGGTAACTTGGGGGAGGGGAAAGGAAGAGAAAAAAGTATGGTTGGCAATTGTGGCACATTTCATATTTCACAAATAAAGCATTTCCTTACGTTATATCATGAATTCTTCACTTTAACCTTTGGACTAGATCATTTTCTGATTGCCCAGTTTAGAAAAAAGTCAGGGGCAGACATTTATGTAAATCAGTTTTATGTGACTTCCAAGCTTGCACAGTCAGTGGAGCCAAAACAAAAACCTGTTGTTTGTCTACAAATCATTAACCATCACACTGTCAGGTCTGAGGCCACACCACAGCTCTAGTCACACCCTCCCCTGCTGGCCTTTCGGGACCATTTCTCGACCAGTCTTGATTCCCATGTAAGGATGTGGAAGGTAATGCTATGACGGACAGATATTGTCCCTCTGTGACCCTGAAAACCAGGACCGAACGATGCACCTGTCACCTGAGAAAGGCCTGTGGCACATATGCCAAGCCTGGGTTGGGGACCAAAGTCACTTACCTAGCTGCCACTCAGGGGAGCACATGGTCTTCATCATCCAGATGGGCAGTGTGGGTTCCAGCATGGCCACGCCCATGTTGGCAAAGCAGATGGAGCCTGGGGAGACAGTTCTGTGAATCACTGTGACTGCCCAGAAGTCCAGACCTTCTCAGCCCAACGGGAGGCTTTGCCAGCTTACCTGCAGCCACCAGGATATAAGGGTCTCTGAGGAGTATGAGAAGTGGAGTCCCCGTGGCGCTCTGAGAACAACAAACTCCATTTGTACAATACATACCCTTCTCCTATATTTTTTAGACTCTGAAAATGTGCTGATAGGACACTGGAGACCGCCCGTTTCGCTTCTTTGCTATAAAGACTGACAGCCCAGTCAAAAGAGTGATATGTTCCATGTCAAAGAAAGAGTGAAGACCTGTGTACAAGGCAGGCCCTGTAGGATGTGCAAAGACTGGGACTACATTCCAGACTCTTGCCCTCCAAAAGCTGTCAGCCAGATCAAAGTGGACTGTTAGCAAGACCTGCACTGAGCACAGGTGTCTGGACTCCTGTCTCGGGCCTCTGATAGATCTCACTGGCAGTCATGCTCATCCTGAGAGAATCACGGGCAGTGCTCAAAGGTAAGGCAGCATCTCAGGCAGCACAAGGCTTCTGAATTCTTTCTTCTGACCAAGTTGAGCCTTACGGGGCTGGTTAGAAGAAGCAGCTTGAATATCTAGGCTAAAATCCCAGCCAAAGTGTCTGGTTCTGATGCACCCTCCTCTCAGAAAACCTTAGCTCCAGCTAAACTCAACCCCTTCCTTCTTCCTCCCAGGCCTCACACATCATTGTCACTTTACCTAAACTACCTTCATTCTCTTCAAATGTCCAGGCCTGCCTGCCCACTCTTCATAATCAAGCTTAAATGGCTTTTTCTTTTCACACAGTGTTGTCTTATTTTCCCTCTTTCAAATTTTCTGAGCACATTGTCCTAATCTGTGGTGTGTATCCCCTTATACCTGGAGATAGATTTCATAAATTTGATAACCCTCTCTGCATACAGACTGGGGTGGGTTAAGATTTAGAGATACTAAAATTAAAGTGGCCATGCCCTCCCTGTGTATATATAATTCAAAGTAAAGGAACAGGCCTAAATGATAAGATATACATAAGGAATTCCAATAACTTCTTCAATCAAATACCTTTCTGGAATTTACTTTAAAGATTACTTCCAACATGATAACATGCACATATACAAGGGTTTTGATGTTAACTGCAAAGTATTGGAAACTATCTAAATAGGAGACTAAATAGAGTACACCACAGTGGTATACCAGACATCCAAGAAAAGTTGTGGTCTTTTCATACCAAGCAATTTCTCAGTTCATTATGGATACCAAATGTCCCTACAATTTCATTCACTCCTAATATTGACTACCTGGACTTAACCAGATCCTATACTTAAGGGTTCAGTCCCACAAGAATACCTCCTTCAGATATCACTCACCAGGAGTGGAGTCCTGGGTTACCAACACTCCTGCCTGTCTTGGCTACAAAATCAAGGTCTTTAGATTGAATCTCCCCATGTTTTCTGAATATTCTTTTCCTTCTTTCTTCATGGTTTGCTATCTATTTCCCCCAAGACACATCTGAATTGGAGTCAGACAAATACCAAATCTGATATTTAAGTCTGTCAGTATGATAGTTGATTAGTATGTTCAGTGAGACATTCCAATCAGGGGAAAAGTTGTCTAGACAGACTCTACAGTCTTTCTTTAACTGAGATATTAAAACAATAAATATCATTGTCTTCTGATTCTAATTTCCATGTATACTTTCATAAGGTTTCTTTGATTCTTCAAAGATGGAGACCTTTCCTCCATTGTTGATCTATATTAGGCCTTGCTGGACCATGCTAAATAGGATCTTAACAAAAAAGGTAAGTGTAGTTCTCATTACCCCTGACTCCACTCCCTGCACTTTCTTCTTATGGCTTGACAGGGAGGCCTTAGTGACACCAGGGGTCACTGTGCTTAGCTATATTCTGTGTATCCCTTGGCAAAGGATCTTAGTGTCCACTTACCTCAGGAGAGACTTTGGAAGGTTGTAGGATGCAAAGCTGGAGTGCTAAGATAGAAAGAGAGTGACCATTCAGTTTGTCCAACAACCAACTGGAGCCCTAGTAATAGGCACACTGCTCCTTCCCCACTACCTCAGCTCTAACTCAGTGTTTCTTCCTTCTTTCTTAAGATGAAACAGTCCTTAATCAATCAATTATGTCAAGACTGATACCATAGAATAATTACTCTCAGCCTGGCCCAGACTTTCATGTGTTGGGTGGTCTCATAGAACTTACCTCCATCTAGCAGTGCCAGGAAGGCCAAAATGAGGAATGGTGCAGACTTCCCAACAAATCCATACATCACACTTCCAAAGGGAGCGCCCACTGGGAAAGGCAAGGCAAGCTCAGATTCCAGAGGCAAGGGCTGATCCCAACCAGGGCAATTTTCTCACATTTACCCAGAGTATTGACTGATACCTACCAGGGACTGAACTCCACATGACTATGGTGTTTCAGAGACAGAGAAGACTTGGGCCCAAGGGGCTCGCTTTCTACTCAAGGAAATGTCTTCATTGTTAGAATATGGCAAAAAGTTTAGTTCAACAGTGAAAGCACAACCTTTAAAAATGCTATTCACCACAGGAAAGAGGAAGTTCACGGTTTTGTCAGCAGTTAGTACTAGTGTAAAAGAAGCATGTGTGAGGATCACAGAGGTATCAGAAAAGAGTGTAGTTGGAGAAGAAGTAGAGATTTGTGTTTCTAGAATATGGATATGGGAATATTAACATTGGAGAAAGTGGAGGCCAGATAGCAAGAGCCCCATAGGCCATGATGGCATGTTCACTTGGTCTTGTGCACCAAAGAGAAATGTCAGTGCTTTTAAGCAGGAGAGACAACTCACCAATGCTATGTGGAGGAAGATTCTTCTAGTGACACCTTGGAGGAAGGAGGAAATACACAATAGATGAGGTATGAAAGAGGCAGTTGCCATATTTCAAAAGAGACAAGATGAAGGTCTTGAAAAAGTGACTGTAGAGCTATGATGGATTTGTTCATGTGGGACTGAGAGGTGGAAAGGAAGGAAGGGTGTTCTGAAGTCTAATTCTGGGTGCTTGGGTAGATACTGAGAGGGGACAGGGCTTTTGTTCCCTCTCCTTCCAATGGTAGTAAAAGGTAGGGTGTGGGAAAGACTCCTGGTGTTTTTCTCTCAATGACCTTGTCAGCTGCTAGTGATACAGGAACAATGTCTGAGAATCTTATGTATATGCCCTCTGTGCAACCCACCCCTGGGATGAAATAAGTGTTCAATCAAAGCGTGTGGCTTACTGGACTAGAGAGTGAAGCCATGTGAGAGACGGGTCTCAGGATTTAAACTCAGACAGTAGGAGCATCCTGGTTTCTGGTACTGCCTGATAGTAATGACCTTGGGTGGCAACTCATCCTTAACCTTTCTTATCCTCATCTCGATCATTGGGGCAATCACTCCTTTTTTATAAAGTGGTGATGAGGATTAAAGGACGTTATGTCTATAATGTGTTTAGCACAGAATCTGGCAAAGAGCAAGTTTTCTTGCTACAAGCCCTGACGGTGTACAGAAGAGAGGTAATTGGTGTTACCAACATGGAGAGCTTCACCCTCTTGAATAGAGTAGGTTTCTGGAGCTTTCCCAGCCCTCTAGTGATCTATTCAGCTTCTTTAAGAGAAAGGAATTTTTGTTTTTTTCTGGAAAATTTTCAGAAATATTCACAACATGATCGGGCAGAGACAGAAGGAAAATATGTTCCCACGATCTCTAGAACACCTCTCTCTTGGAGCCATCTTTGGAGAGTGTGGGGTACCCCAGCCTCGTGCACCCAGATGTGAGCCAGGTGTCACTTACCCAGCACTCCTAAAGCCAAGCCCCCCAAGGCAATTCCCATGGCACGTCCCCTCTCATAGTCATCAGTGTAGACACTCGCCAGCATCCCGAGACCTGAAGCATGACAGATGGTGTTAGAGTGTATAGGAACTTTCTGTCTGCTACTGCAAGGACCCACGGTATCTGCCTAGGTCTATGATATCTTCAAGGATCTTAGTTTTAGTATGAGGGGTTTTAAAAAACTAACCTATAATATTTTACAAATACTGCCCCTACTAGTTCCTCAAATTCTTACATTACTTAGCTTTCTATTCAGAATATTGTTGGAGAAGAAAATGTCTCTGGGAAAGGTAGCAAGGAATATCAGCAATACTGAATTTCATATCATTGCATCATTTCTTAGCACAGTTCCCTAAATGATGGGATATGCAGTAATTGAAGCAAAGGAAAACCTTTGAACACAGATTCCTGTTCTATTCAAGGGGCTTGCCCAAGAGAGAGTGTGACAGGAAGGACACATGGAAGAAAATTGTGAACTATGATCTCATCTCTATCTACTCATAAGGAAAAATGGCATAAAATAAATACTTTATAAGGTTGCACTGAATATTTTGCAAATTGTGAGAATGTTAGAGTAGTATTTTACTACTTGACACTATTTTGCAAACTGTGAGAATGCTATAGTAGTATTTTACTACTAGCTTCTAGCCGTAACTAATAAATGTTACTAGACTAATATTTTCTAGTGAAAATGTTAAGAGGTGGACAGACAAAATACCATAGAGTAGCACTAAATAAAATCCAACACTCTTCATGGTTTTATCTCGGGCATGCTCTGACCTGAACCGGCTGCATCTAAATACTATCAGAAAAAAATCATTGTCGGCTTGGGAATTTACAGACTCTGCTAACAGATCTACATTTATCTAGTTTCTGAAACACAAATTCTGCCTTTTAAGATGATGGGTGGGAGAAGTGGGGGAGGGAGAAGTAAATATTGTTTTAAAATGGAACAATAATGTAAATAGACATATAACTTAATAAAAATAAGAAAAAAGGGATATTTTCCTTAATTTCTTTGTATATCTCTTAAAGGGTATGAAGTTAGTAAAATATGGTAAGATATGTGTACACGTGTTCTTGTGTGCTGGAGATGTCAATGTTACCTGCAACAGATGAAAATGAAGATCCAATGCCTTGAAGAGTGCGGGCCACGAAGAGCAGGGTGTAAGTGCCAGAGAAAGCAAACACTGAGCCAAGAGAATAGCAAGAATCATTCACAAATTGCTCTTCATTCCCCAGCCACCAGAACTTGTCTACAGTATAGCAGATATGATCCATTATGCACATGTTTTAATAAAGTATGATTACATATCACTGTTTTTGGTGCTTCTTCTAATCTCTCTCCCCTTAAATGGATTTGCATTTTCATTAGCATGAAGATTGAGAAACCACAGAGCATAAATCTATTCACCACACAGTGGATGGGATTCTGGGCTTCTCACTTTCACCAAAAGTCCAACATCTGCTCACTGGAATCAGGATTTTCTATGAAGAATAATATTCTGTCCTTAAACTCTTCTTCTGAATCTTCCCTACACAGCATTCAATTTAATCTTTGCCTTTTTAGGGCCCATTGAGTCAACTGTAGCATGGGGACAAAAGTCATGTGTATTTCAAGGATAGTAGGCAATAATTAAAATGATATCTGTGGTCCAGTCAGAATCTTCCCCTTGATTTATAATAGAAGCTTTTAGAGCCAATCCTGAACATGGAGTTATGCAAGATTCTGTACCTGATTGAAGTAGATAGCAAACATCTAGTTCATGCCCTTCAAGAAGTTCAGCCTGCTAGAGACTCACATAGCAAAACTGAGAACCAAATAGGAATATGTCATCAAAAACTAAATTACAGACTGCTGGTGGGAAGGTTAGTAAGTACAGACATGTCTCATCTCCAATTCCAAGACAATGAGCCCCAAACAGAGAAGACTCCCTACCAAAGTATCCGAGTCAGGGGAATTTGAACTGTGCCTACTCATTATAGATGTCTTTGGTTGCGCTTGTGATCTCCTACCATTATTTCCTGACATAATCACACTTCTCCTAAACATGCTTAGTTTTCATATTTCCTTGCTGGGCCTCCGTTGTCCTCTCAGGCTTTTTGCCACTTACTGTTCTAAGTCCATCTCCATTTTCTTGGGAACATTTATGTGATTTTGGAAAGATTATTTCTCTGTCTCTTTCTTATATCTTTAGCAAATTTACTTTCTTAAGCTACATCCTTTAATGTCATTACTTAAAAGCAGTAGACATTTTAAACTATTCCAGTTGTTATTGTCCAAATTTGATTCTCGTTAGTATTCTTTATTAGTCCCCCTTTACTTTTGTATAGCAAAATAAGATGACCTCTTCCCAGAGGTGGAACATTTATACTACATTCACCTAGGGATTACAGATACACACACATGACTACACTATATATATTACAACAGCCCTCAAACTTTTCTCCAGCTGATTAAAGTATCTGTTCTCTATAGCAGGAGCTACAACTTCCAACTGGACTTGAGTTACCACAATTGCAATAGTGCAAAGTATTTAACTCAGTACCATAGGCCATTCAGGAAGATGACTAATTACTTGGGCATGTGATAGAATTGAAGGTAAGGAGTGAAAGGAAGAAAATAAGAAGCAAATTACTTACTAACTGTGGAGAGAAACATGATAACAAAACCAGCAAACATAGGAATGTGATATCCAATCCTAAAAGGGAATTTAAAAAAAAGCATAGCTCTAGTAATTAAATGTTTATCATTTAACTGGGAACAGAAATATAGTTCTTTGAGTATATGGTAAAACAGGTCTTAATGCAGGTGTAGAGATTGGGGACATGTTATGTGAAAGCAAGTAAACCACCATGCAGATTTACCTATATAAGCCAGCACGGGAATCCACTTCACCAGAAAGGGTGATCTGGTTACACTAAGTATATGACCAAACCCAATTACTGAGAAGCCAGTGCTCTGGATTACATTAGCTCTGTCCTATGCCCACCCTCACTCCCTCACTGGGGTAGTCCCAGGGTACTGAAATAACATCAATAGTGAATCAGTCGCCAGATCCCTTATTGGTATTCAGTAGTCATGCATCACTAAGGAAACACAGGGCCCTTGACATTTCACCAGCTTTATGTGGTCCTTTGGGGTAACCAACTTTCCAAGAAGATTACTACCCTGGGATCCAAACAAATGAATGTTGCACCTACTCCTGGGCTCCCGAGTACCTGGAAAGGCACTGAAACTTTTGAAATACCTGTTGGTGAGAGGCCCCACAAATGGATTGACCAGAAGTTGCATCAGAGCCTTCGAAGCAAACAGGAGCCCAACCCATATGTTCTCCTCCTCCAGGAACTCTGTGTCTTGCAAGCAGTTGTTTTTATCTGCTGAGATGACATCAGGGACTGAAGAGGGGAAGGACCCAGATGTAACATTTGCCCAAGCTGTGCCACTGGGTGCACTTCCTTCAACAGCCATGGTGTTGTTATCAAAAAAGGATAAGATGGTGGAAAAGGCAGAAGGGAGGGCATGCTGGAAAGTCACGGCAGTGCCCAGGTGGAGAGATGTGTTGACTTCTTTGAACTCCATGTCATATAGGAAGGTGGGCACAATGGGCACTGGAAGTCAAGAAGAGGAATGATAAGGGCTCAAGGCAGATTCTTTTACCACTAGTAAGCTCAGAAGCATTGTTATGAGGTTCAGTTTCATGTTTAGGAGGTGACTAGGGGCCCTCCCTGGTGGCACAGCAGGTTAAAAGCTCCTTCAGCATGAGTTTGATCCCCAGCCCTGGAGGTGACCCACATGGCACGGTAGACTTCTCCTGACCCACCCGCTGCTCCCCTCAGCAGTGTGCTTCATCAGTCAGCCTGTTCTGCTCCCCACTCTGTCTCTGTGAAGCCTCTTGGCACTCCTGTCCCTCTGGCCCGTACCCTAGTTCTGTATGCACAAATAAATAAATCTTAAACAAAAAAGGAGGTGTCTAAGTGACATGATTTAAAGTCAACTAAAAGACTGAACCTGCCCAAATTAATCCTATTAGCTAATACACCTAAACTCCAACCATCACACTCCTAAACATTTTTACTTATTTTTCTATTCAGTAAAATTTACTTAAACTACTGCATCAATACTCATAGAGCTGTCATGATTATTCTTGGACATGTACCCAGTGGGAAAAATTTTGAGTCACCATATGCTCCTGTTCCTAGCTGCTTCAGCTTTCCTAAAGATGGCAGAACCTGCAGACAGCAGGGGGCAGGCCAGTGTCCTGCAAGAGCTTCAGCCCTGGATCTAGCTGAATACAGCCTGAATCACAATTCCTGTACCAGTTAGTAGGTGGCTTTGAGGTAGTCACTCCACACACTGGAACCCATTCTCTTTGTAAAAAAGAAAAACAGTAAAATCTACCAGCATGAGCTGTCTTTAGAATTTAAGACTATAATCTATTTATATTATGTGTGTGCATAAGAACATATGATAAGGATAATGATACAGTATTGGTTAAATTCAATGTTTGCAGCAACTTTATAGAACATGGATACCATAAATAATGAGAACTGACAATACTGTATTAACAATTTGTCTCAAGAAGTTCTATTTTTTATAAAAAGTGTTATTATATTTCTTCTATTTTACCCAGGAAGGGTAACACATTAGTGCCCATTTTATATACTGGCATAACTGAATGCAAAGGTTAATAGACAGCCAACTAGAAAAATCAGGACTGAAGGAATAAGCCACAATAAAAGAAGGCTTTGGTGAAGGCAGTGTATACAGTTTGTTCCTTTAGTGGTGCAGAGATTAGAAAAGCACCACATTGGGAAGAGGTGAGCTGTCCCAGCGGCCACTCAGATGCTCTCTGAACTTCCTTCTCTTCAAACTCCTGGAGGCTTTGCCATGGTGGGCAAGTTTAGGACCCCTTTTCCTGCTGTTTTCTTGAATTCCCAACAACCTCTATGTATTTTTCAAGCATAGAAAACAACCCCTTCCATTAATTCACTGCTGAAACCTAGCTAGATGTGTGCTGCTATCTGGGGTGCAGAGAAAATTAACCCTCAACAAAAAGACACCCCCCCCCCTCAAACGTACCCACCACAGTAAGCAGCATGTTGTCCAGGAGCAGAGCAACAAACACCACGAGCAGCACCAGCTTCCTGGACTCTCTCCCCTCCCTCAGCAGCCACTGGGGAGCACCCCAAACTGCTCTGAGCATGGCAAGAGCTGGGCAGGGGTTTCTTCTCCAAGGTCTTAGTGGTAGTCTTGTTACAGCCTCGGGTCTTCTGCAGCCGTTATAGGAAAGGGAAGAGTATCTGCCCAGACAAGTGAAACTCACTGTTAAGGTAAAATGTGCAGAGTTGCAGGTAGTAAGATGACACTGGGAACATTTTCATGTCCGTGTCTGTTCATGTTCACTTCTTACAGATGTCCTTCCCCACTAACTCTACCTGGTTCCCAGGTTGCCTTTCGAGTGAGCAGAGCTTACCAGCTTTTTATATGGGGAACACTATCTAGTACATTCACACATTCTAGAGATCACCTCATTCATGTTTCTCCAATGTCAGACATTTGCCTACAACCTTGATGATTTACATCGTATCTGAGGTCTACTTGGGCTATCATTTATGTTGTTTTTCCTCAAGAACTACTCTTCTTCAAAACTGTGTACTGTTGTGTATGTGCCAGGTCTGAAAAAAAATTGCAGTCTATGTCCATGTATCACCCAAAAATAACTCATGCACCGCAAGTGTTTCTCATCTGCCCACAGAGAAACACTGACTTAGCTCACCCCTTTCATCTCACAGATAAGGTAGCTGAACTCAGGAGGCAGAGAGAGTTGACTGGGTTACACAACTAGTGTCAAACTGGAACAAAATACTAATTTTTCTAGCTTGCAGGGTTGTATGCCACCATCTTCCGGTGCTGTGTGGTCCTAGAAGTTCTCCTTTCTTCTAAGATACAAGCCCCTGCTTAGAAAGGTGTTACCCGATGTATATTAATCACTGACTTTCAGGATAAGTTTCTATATAAGATTCCCTGTCAGCATGCAATCTCTGTAGCTTGTTAAATTGCAGGCAAGAATTGTTTCTGGGAAGAACTTTACTTTCTGTTTTGTGGTTTCTGTTGCGGTATCAAAAATACCAACCACATAAATTTTCAAACAGATGACTGTCATAAAGTGTATCAGGGTCTAAAAATCATATACTCTTTGATTTGATAACTCTACTTCTAAGAATCTAGTATAAAGAAATGATCAGAAGTACAGCCAAAGATTTATTTCAAAACTATTAATTACCAAATTACTTAGGATGAAGTCTTTCAGTGGTGAAATACAAGTAGTTTTCAAACATAATATTTTCAAATAATTTTAATAACTTAAAATAGTCTTAATATGATGTTAAATTTTCAAAAAGGCTATTAAATTGTGCTTATAGCTGACTTCAGTGGTATGAAAACAATATATATATGCGCACATTTTTAAAAGACTTGAAAGGTATATGCCAAAATACCAGCTTTTATAGTCAGTGACTTAAAGTATCTTTTTTTTTTCCTTTTCTGTCATTCTTAAATATTCTGTAGCTAATTACTTTCATAATACAAAAAAAGTAAATAATTTGAAATAATTACATCAGGGTTCAATATTTAATAGCCTGTCTGAGATGTTGGAAGTTCCCCAAATACTGAGCTACTCTGCTGTAAGGCCAGGGCTGGGCAAAGACCATCATACTGAAGATCTGCCTGGCTATGGCATCTCTACTGAACCAAATTTCCAGAACAGTCTAATCAGAAAATATATGCAGTTGTCAGACCCTTCATTTACTATATAAATAAAGCATTTCTAAACACAAATTTACTTCAGGTACATAAGAAATAGATACATAAGAAAATAAGGCAGCAATAGAAAACTAATATTTAAAATGGAATGAAATAAGTATACTATAAGGACAGACCACACACACACAATAAAAAGCAAAACCAAACATGAATTTACCAATAAACCAGTAGCAAACTTGAGATTCAAATTTCTTACTTGAAAAACACAAATTAGAAGGAAGGATTCAATTTTTCCAGAGAGAGAAGCAGCTTACCTTATAACCCATCTGTGAGGTGCAAGGTGCTGGCTGAGGTAGCTGTTCAGCAGGGACTCTCGCCTCTAAAGTGGATATGCTGATGGATTTATTGCCACCTGTTATCTGAGGATGGCATGTTTACTCTTTGTCCATAAAGATTTAATTGGAACCTCCAACAGGTTTCATTTAGATCCTGAGCTCCCTGCGTCAGAGGCAGAAAAGCAGAACTGGAGAGAATAAAGAGATGGGGACATTATCCTAAGCAAAGAGGCACCAGCTGCAATATTTTCCATTTGTGCTTATCTATCATCAAACTCTAACTCTAGCCTGGTTCTGAATACAAATTGAAAGACAAAATAGAATCCATGCCTGTTGCCTGTTCTTCTTTTCCCTTGCTACTTAGCCAAGAGACAGAATGTAAGCCAATTGCTTCTGGACAGAAGTCAGTCATAGAAAACCCATAGGTGTACCCATAGGTACATAGGTATATGCATACACACACACACACACACACACATTAACTGTCAACATATGGAAGCAACGCAAATGTTCATTGATGGATGAATAGATAAACAAAAGCTGATCTCACGCACACATATACACTATACACACACCAACATGACTTGCTTACTGATGGGGATATATTTTGTACATGCTGAGAGCTTTGCTGTTAGGTGATTTCACTGTGTGCAAATTTATCTTATAATTAAACAGACCTAGATGGTATAGACTATAACACACAGCTTGTATGCATGTGCATCGTTTTCAAGCCACAAAAGTGACACATCAATGGCCTTTGTAAAGGCATAGATTGCACACTGCCATCTTTCTGTGCCAATACTTTTGTGATGCCTAGTACATAGTAGCCTTCAGTAAATATTTCTTGTACTGATAAAGGAACATGAATCCAGATCCCCCACAGAGCTGAGAGTCTGCAAGCAGTAATGGCTTTGTTGGTGCTGAGGAGTCCCCCCTCCTCCCCACCCCCCTTCCGCCTGCAGCCTGCGGGCAGCCCCCAGGCTGCTCTGCTGACAATGACTGGCCTCTGGGCTCCGGTGGTGGCCGATGTAGGCCTGGGTTGCAAAGCAGCAGCCCCTAGGACAACCCTGGAGCTCTAACAGTGACAGGTGCCCCCAGCCCTGTGGCCCCTGACTGGGGGGGAAGGGGCGGATGAGTGTTAGGCTTTGCTAGTGCAGCCTGGTGTTGCAGCTCTGGAGTCACAGGGAGAGGCCCATGTCAGGGTCCTAATCACAGCCCACCCTACAGTCACAGGGTGTCCCAGCACTGCTGAAGGGCCCTGAACTGTTAAAATAACCCCCCACTGAGGTAACCTGGCTGCTGCGTGCCCCAGGTCCACTGAGGCTGGCTCCACTGTGGTTCTTTGGAGCTCCTGGCCCGAACTTTCAATTTGACACTTTACAGGAGGCCTAGAAAGAGAAATGGGAGCAGGGAAGAAGGACATCAGGGCAGTACATGCGTTTCTTATGGCTGTTGTGACAATTGCAATACACTAAATGACTTAGCACAACCTAATTAGTGTTCTGATAGTCAGAAGTTCTGAACCCAAAGTATTACACTGAACTAAAAATCAAAGACTCAAACATAGTTGTGATCCTTTTAGAGACATATCAACTTAGAAAAATTTGAATATGTATACACATAGAGATGTTAATGGGAAATGAAAAGGTGGATATACAATTTTATGTACATTAATTGCCAAAATATGGAAGCAACCCAAATGTTCTTTGATGGATGAATAGATAAAACAAAAGCTGATCTCTCTCTCTCTCTCTCTCTCTCTCTTTCACACACACACACACATAGGTTTTTACTGATGTGGATATATTTTGTACATTCTGAGAAGTTTGCTGCTATGTGATTTCACTGTATGCAAATTTATACATTATAATTAAACAGACCTAGATAGTACAGGCTATTACATAGCTTATATGGAAAAACCTATTGGGGCATTGTAATACCTGTCATAGAGGAGTTTATCACAGATCTGACTTGTCATTAAGCCAGGCATGACTGCATGTATACAGTGGAATATTAACCAGCTTTAAAAAAAGGGAAGAAATTCTGGCTATAATGTTGATGAACTATGAAGACATTATTCTAAGTGAAATAAGCCCATCACAAATGGACAAATATTGTATGGTTTCACTTACATGAGGTACATAGAATCATCAAATTCATAGAAACAGAAAGTAGATTGTGGTTTCCCTGGTCTGAGTGAGGAGGAAGTAAGGAGTTGTTGCTTAATGGTTATACAGTTTCAGTTTTACAAACTGAAAAACTTTTGGAAATTGGTACAAATGAATTTGGAAATTAAGTGTACAAATGAACTGTACACTTAAAAATGGCTGAAGGAATAAGTTTTATGATAGGTATATTATACTACAATTTTCTAACTCTGTAATACTGAAATTATATGCCTATCAAAACTCCATAGACATAGTACCCATATAGCTAACATACATTAACTGTTATGCTGAATTATGCATATTTTTGACTTATTTTCCAAATTCTAGTAGAAAAAAAATTAAATAAAAAGTCACCAGTAAAAAGTAACAGCTCCATCAACATCTCTACAGTTCGTGGACTCTGAGCTCTTGATAAGGACTGGTGATTTCTAGCCAGAAAACCTGTGGAGAACAATCTGAGACTGACATGGAAGTTAGAGGCTCTAAAAGTGGCTTTAGAGCATTCTAAACTGTTAGCATTCTAGTTTCAGTGGCTGGCACACAGCATCACTAGCAGACAGCTTTTTCTCCAAACCAAATGACACATATAACTAATTAAGTTTCCCTGTGGCTATGGCTGGCATGGTCTGCAGAGTGGATAGGCCTATGACTCAGGCCTGGAAAGTGCTTTTGTTTCTCATTACTTCCTGTTTCTTTTACTGTTCAAATATTTAACAATTAGTTCAGACTCCCCCACGTATCAAGCATATGTCAGTGTTTCGCCTTGTACTGGAAAGGCTTAGTTTCTGTCGCAGGCCTCTGAAAAGAGGGCTAGGAGTGTGCCACATAATGCCTGTGCTCTATCTGGCATTATGGATCCTGCAGGGAAGAATGTGTATCCCAAAAGGTAGAGAACTGCTATATCTGTTAAAGGGAGGCGAGAATTTGCTTCAGATCCAGGAGATGAGGCATTTTAAAACCCAAGCACATAATTGCATGACTGTAATGCCACATGGTGGCAAATTCAGCAATACATATGTAGACTGGGAAATTCAGCCTGACCCCTCATCAGCATCCGTTCAGCCCCAGTCCTCTGAAGGTTGAGCCTTGCCTATGGAAATACCAGACTTAGAAATATTTAAAGCCAAAAAGTAACTTTCATGAGATTAGCGTCCTTATCCTGAGAATCAGGTCCCTTCAAATTCAGGCTGGGTATCCTTTAACCAGAGCTATCAGGCGAAGCTTGTCCCATTACAGCACATAACCTGACAGGAAGTTGCGTTGGTAACATTCATTCTTGGGGGGCTCTTTTCGCCACTGCTTCTAACCTGCTACCTCAGTCGCTTCCTATTCCTTCAAAACAGCCTAAGCCTCATGTTCGCACTCCCAAATGCCTCACACTTTCTTCCTGATTTTGACTTGTTTAATCTCTTCTGCCCCAGTGATTTCCTCCCTTCCTTCTACCTGTTTCTTGCCTCTCAGTACGTTGTTTCAGAAATGCTCCTTTACTATCAAGTTTCAACCTGGTCATCTTCCCCTATCACCTGATGTACCTTCTCTAGCTAGTGTGACTCAAGGCTGCTCTGCTCACAAAATGTAGCTCCAGCTAAAATTACTAGCCAGCATTATGCCTCTTCAGTGCCCATCTGGACTTGCAGGAGTTGGTTAAGAACAAAATGGGCCAAAAGCCAGAATCAGAAATATAATATTCTATGCTTGTAGCATTTCTTTGAATTACAGTTTCTGCTTTTTACTGTAAGCTGCTTCAAGCTGGAGCTTTGATCTCACTCATCTTTCTACACCACACAGCACCTGGGATCTAAGCCAGCAGAGGCACAATACCTACTTCTTCTTGGTGGTGGTGGTGCCTCTGAGCACCACATGAGACTAACAGATACATTGGAAGCCTGGAATGAGACTTGTACTTTCCAGAATTTCATTGTTTAAGGGGCTCCCCTCCTTGGTAGCACAGTGGGTTAAAGTGCAGCACTTCGAAGCAATCCACAGCATGAGTTTGATTCCTGGCCAGGAAGCTGACCCACCTGGCTCAGCAGACCTCTCCTGTCTTACCCACTGTTCTCCTCAGCAGCATATTTCAGTCAATCTGCCTGTTCTGCTCCCCACTCTGTCTCTGATGAATTCTCTCACCCTCACATCTTTGGCCTGTACCCTAGTTCCTGTATGCATAAATAAATCTTTTTTCTTTAAATGTGAATAAGGAACTTTTACCTTTGATTTGGAATTTAGTTTCCCAAACCCATACCTCCTTGACTGTGACCAGAGTTCCACAAACAGAACTGAGTGTTTTGAAATCTACCACTGAATCTTGGAATCTGAGTCTCAGCCATGGCTCCTTCTTAGCTTTAGTAAAGGATCAGAGATAAAAATCTACATTCCACAATTCATTGCACTGGTCTAGTGAGACTGGAATGGCATCAATGGGTATGAAATGTCAGCGGTATTATCTTTTTGGAACAAAGGCCTAGAAGAGCGCCTTGTACACAGTAGGCACACAATATTGCATCCTCTGTGTTTATCAGAAAAAAACCTGCGAAACATCGACACTGCTCTTACTGAACTGCTCTATTTGCTGGTAAAAATTTCCAAACACTAATTTCCCCAAAATAAATTCTTCTTCTAAATGCAATCTCCTCAAAGAACTGCTTCAGAACTATTAGTTCTTGGGAGTAGAGTAGACCATCTATAATTACTCTGCATCAGAGGAATTTTCTCGACTTATCCAAATGTGTGCATAGATGTCAGAATCAGAATTGGGTGGCTCTAGAGACTACGAAGCAAAACACACAGACAAAAAAAAAAAACAAAAAACAAAAAAACACAGCAGCATAAAATCTAGAAAAGTTAGATTTTCTAACTACTCCTGTTAATATCCTGCTCTTTAGGTGATTA